TCAGCTTGAATTTGTGATCCTTCTGCCTCAGCCTCCAAGAATGCTGAGGTTGCAAGCATGTGCCTCTGCACCTGGCTGCACTTTAATTGCTTTTGAATGCTTTTTGTTGTTGTTGCTGATGGGAACTGAGCCTAGGGTCTCAGCATGATAAGTATGTGTTCTACCACTAAGCTACACTCCCATCATCATATAAATGAAACAATACATTGTGCCCTTATTTGTTTCTAATTCTAAGTGTTTGTGAAATTCACCATGTATGTAGTTGATGGTTTTCATTGCTCTATTGTATTTCCTTGTGGGAATATGCTACAATTCATTCATTGTAATGGGGATGGACTTTTGGGTTGTTTAGTTACTGGCTATTATGAATAATGCTGCAATGGACATTCTTTCACATGTCACCTAGAGCACATGTAACTGAGTTCTCTTCTGTATATACCTAGGAGTGGAACTGCTGGGTTGCAGGGCATGTGCTCTTTCAACTTTAGTAGATAACATCAAACTGTCTGCCAGAGTAATTGACCAATTTACATTCCCAGGTGTGGTGCTGAATTTCCCTTGTTCCTCTCAACCATCTGGTACAGTTGGTCTCCTTTCATTTTAGCAAGTCTGATGCATGTGTGTAGTGGTTTCAATTCATACTTTCCTGATGATTAGTGAAGTTGTGTTCCTGTTCACATTTTTACTGGTCACTGAAGTTCCTCTTTACTGATGTATATAAGTAATGTATATTTTCCTAAGTGTTGCTGATCTTACTGACTTGGAGGAATTTCAAAGGTATTCTGGATATAATCTGCCAGTTTTACTCTGCAAGTGTGCTGTAGTCCCCCCCACCCTTTTTCTTCAGTGCTAGGGATGGAACCCACGCCCCTGTGCATGTTAGGCAAATGCTCTAACATTGAGCTCCCCCCAACCCCCCTAGCCCCTGCCCCTTCTTTCGCTCTCTATCCCTGTCTCTCTCTCTGCCAGGTTCTCACCATGTAGTCTGTGAAGGCCTTGTACTTAAAATACTTCTGCCTCAGCCTCCCAAGTGCTCTGGTGTGGCATATAGCACTACACCTGGCTCCTGGTTTTACTTTTTTGTTTTCTTTTTTGTTTTTGGTACCAGGGATCAAACTCAGGACCTTGCGCTTGTGAGGCAGGCGCCGGAACCACTGAGCTGAATCCCCGGCCCTGGTTTTACTTTTTTAATACCATATTGGTTTTGGTTGAACAGAAGCTTGTAACTTTAATGTAATAAAATCAGTGATTTTATTGTCCTGTTAAAAAACGTTGTATCCAGGGCTGGGGATTTAGCTCAGTGGCACTGTGCCTGCCTGACAAACAAGGTTCTGAGTTCAATCCCCGGTACCAAAAAAAACCAAACACTTGTACCCTTACCAAGATACATTATGTAAAGGTACAAATCCCCAATAATGAATGTCAACATGTTGTATACCTAAAATGTACCAATAAAAGTTAATAGTTTAAATATATAAAAAAAATGTATCCTTGCTGGGCATGGTGGTGGATCCCTGTAATCTCAGCACTCGGGAGGCGTGAGGCAGGAGGATCACCGTGAGTTCAAGGCCAGCCTGGACTACATAGTGAGTTGAAGACCAGCCTCAACTACATAGTGAGAACCTGTGTCAAAAAAAAAAAAAATGTTGTATCATTTACCTACAAGATCCCAAAGTTGGAAACAACTGAAAATGTCCATCAGTAGATGAATAAACAAATTTTAATTATGATATTTCCAAATAATGAGAAATTATTCAGGTATAAAAATAAAGTGGTCCATGTCTGTAATCTTAGCACTTGGGAAGCTGAGGCAGGAGGATCATGACTTCACAATCAGCAGGGCTACATAGTAAATTCCCAGCCAGCCCAGACTATATAGAGAGACTTCATCTCCAAAAAAAAAAAGGAAAAAGAAAATGACGTACTGACATATGCCACATGGATGAACCTTGAAAACACTGTACTGAAAGAAGCCAGCCCCAAAGACTACATATTGCATGATTTCATGTATATGAAATGTCCAGAACAGTCAAATCCACAGACAGAAAGTAGGTTAATTGTTGTCAAGAATGGGGAGAGGGGAGACAGAAAGTGAGTGTTTGGTGGGGAGGGGATTCCTTTTGGGGTGACAGAGGTAGCGGTTGTACAATGTTGTCAACATGCTAAATGCCACCAAACTGTTCACTTTAAAGTGGTTATTGATTGGTTGATTGATTGGAGTACTGGGGATTGACCTCAGGGCTTGGAGCATGCTAGGTAAGTGCTCTACCAATAAGCAATACCCTCAGCTCTATGTTATTTTTATTTTTATTTTTTATTTTTTTGGTACCGGAGATCAAACTCGGGTCCCTGCGCTTGCACAACAGGTGGTGAAACCACTGAGCTAAATCCCCTGCCCAGCCCTATGTTATTTTTAAGAATAAAAGACACCTTCCAAATGCTCAGGTGAAGAGAGACTTCTAGACCACATTTGTAAAACACTTGTACAGTCTTCTGCATCCGGTGACAATCCATATTGTGTGGTGTGAAATCTGCGACATGTATTAGTGCTAAGTCCTGTACATGGCTCCAAACCCTCTCCATGTTGAGCCCTTCATCCTCATAACCAGGCTGTGAGGGAAGTTTTATTATAAATTTATTTTTAAAGATAAGGACTTGGAGGTTCAAGCAGGCTATAAAACGTGTCCATTGTTTCACTGGAGAAGGGAACTAGCCTGAGGTTTGGTGTGACTGGGATGCTGGTGGGCCAGGGCCAGCCTTGGTTTCCCCACCTATGACAGGACAGCCCGAGCCTGTTCAGTGAGCCCAGGATGCCAGAGTTGCTGATCTCTGGGCAGAATCTCAAGCTCCTGGCTACTCTGAGGCTGCGTAGTTGGGGCTATTCTTAGATGGGTGTCTGGTCACTCAGCAGTTCATCCCAGGGGTCTTCAGGCCCTTCCCTGAGGACAGACACTGGGTGACCTTGCAAGGGCTAATCTTGTGAGTCCAAGTTTCACTGTTTGAACTGTCTGTGGGGGTTATACTTAGGCCCCACTCCCAGCATTTGAGAGGGTCATCTGACACAGGAACTCTGCACCTGATAACTTAATATTTTGTCACTATTGTACGCAGGTGTCTCTTCCTGGTGGGGCAGGAACACTGAAGTCAAGAAGGTTCAACCCAGATAGTGTTTGTGAGCCCCACCCTGCCCTCTGACTGACCCAAGAATGATGAAACCAAGTGGCCTCCTGGCCTGCCCAAGAGGACCCAGGTTGGGAGGAAGGTTGGGGGTTTCCAAAAGCCCACAGCCTTCCAAAAAGCAGGATATAAAAGTTATTTAAATTTAAAATGAGGGGGACTTAGAGGCGTGGGATCTTAGTAAAGAAGAGTCTGAGGATGTACCTGCATTGAGCAGGGGTTCCCTGGTGCTTCACTGTCCCAGAGACAAATGAGAGCTTAGTGCCAGGATTGCACTTCAAGGCCTGTTACTCCAGATGCTGTCACTGGTAGGGAAACTGAGGTCCAAAGTGGGGCCTGCTACCCCTTAGGCCCAGGTATAAACATGAGGTCTGGTTTGTGTAACAGCTGCTGAGGTGAGGCATGGGGCCAAGGTGAGGGAGATGTTGGAATCCCAGCCTGGTCCAGCTCCTGAGCCTGACCAGCCAGCCTATGAGGGACAGATCTGGACCATGTGACAGGGTATCTCCCTGGACTTCCCACTGGTTTCAGTGCTTGTTACTACTAACTGCATAGCCAGAGGAGCAAACCAGGAGCAGTGCTGTGAAGGTTGCTGGCAAGAAGTGTGCCCTGAGGGGATAACTGGGAGTGGGGGGCAGTGGGTTCCTCCAAGACTGGGTCTTGCCATCCACTCTTTGCCCATCTTGCAAAGATTGCCCACCGGAGCCCCAGAATTTGGCCCAAATGTGACCAGGGATGTCACAGGGGTGAGGCTTGAGCCAAGTCCCACTCACGTCTGGCACCCCGGGACTCCAAGGAGCTCTGTGGGTAGGGCCCCATACCACAACTGGCTACTTCACCAGGCAGGGGCTCCCCACCCCCTGCACCAGCCTCCCCTCCTGCACCCTCATTTCCATTCTGGGGACACAACTGTATGGGAGAAGTCACAGACCTCATTATACACAAAATCAAAACATCTGGGCGTTGTGGCACACATCTTTAAATCCCAGCACTTGAGAGGAGCATGAGGAGCTCTGTGAGTTCAAGCCTAGCCTAGGCTATGTAGAGAGCCCCCGTCTCAGAAAACCAAAACCAAAGCCAAAGCACACAAGATTGAGATAAAGGTTTGCAAAACCCGCAGCAGAGTACAGATCCCTCTCAAAGAACATATCCAAACCATCAAAGGACAAACAACTCATAAGGAAAACAAGCCAATTCTCTCACACTAGCAAAGTCAAATGATACAATTTTCTCTCTCAGTAAGAAAGAACTACAACACTGAAACACTGAACATCATCTTCCTTTTGGGAAAAATAATAATACCGCCCACCCTCCCAGTAGTGGGGATGAAACCCAGGGCTCTCGTGCATGCTAGGCAAGCATTATACCTGAGCCATACCTCCAGCCCTTTATTTATTCTTTTTTTTTTTGGTACCGGTGATCGAACTTGGGACCTTGCGCTTACAAGGCAGGCGCTGGAACCACTGAGCTAAATCCCCGGCCCAAGCCCTTTATTTTTTGAGAGGCGCCCAATGCCCAGAGAGGTCCAGGCTGGCCTCGAACTTGCGATCGTTGTGGTTCAGCCTGCTAGAATGCGGGGATTACAAGCCCGCGCCAGTGCCGGACTACAAACAAGGGTGCTACTTTTGTAATGCAGAAACCAGCGTCTCTCGACAGCTTCTTCTTTGAACGCTAGTTTCGGCTCTCAGGATCTCCAGTATACGAGCGGGCGGTTCCCTCGCCCTAAAACGGAGGCTGCAGAGGCCGTGGCTTCCTGAAGCTCTGCGCCTGAGCATACGGCCGCATGCGCCTGCGTACATGCCCCAGCCAAAGCTCCAAATCTCGCGAGCGTGGCGGCTGTGGCGACGCGTCGGGCTTGAGGTGGTCGCGCTGGCTCTGTTGGCCTACCTGCGGGCGTAGGGCGTTCCCTAAGGCTCTGCGTCCGCCTCAGGTACCCCCAGCCCCCGCCGCCCCCTGGCATTATGGGGGACAACACCAGTCCCATCAGCGTGATTCTGGTGAGCTCGGGCAGCAGGGGGAATAAGCTGCTGTTCAGGTACCCCTTCCAGAGAAACCAGGAGCACCCGGCGTCCCGGACAAGTAAGTGGCGCCCGGCGGCCGCCGCGAGCACTCGGCGTCCACGAGAAGGAAAGAGGAGGCAGGAGAGAAATCACTAGTAATTTACCTCCAGAACAGCTATTGCTAACGTCTTGACAGTCTCCAGTTTTTAAAAAACATATATATAAATCTCAAGTACTTGGAAGGCTGAGGCAGGAAGATAAATTCCACGTCTGACGGTGTAGCTCAATGGTAGAGCCCTTGACTAGCATACAGGAAGCCTTGGGTTCAATTCCTAGTGCCTTAAAAACGATGTAAAAATTGCAGATGCACCTTATGTTAACCTTGCCCTCCATCTCTGCCCCAAATTACCCTGTTAGTTTGGAAATTGTCCCTCTTGAGAAGATAGCAAATACATATCTGCATATAAACAATATTCGTTGGAGGATTTTTTTTTTATTCACGCAAGCGTCTTCTAAAGCACTCTTCTAAACTGAACAGTCAGTGTTGGCACCGCACATAATTGAGTGAATACACCGACCTCATTCAGTTGGTTGCAGCATACTACTGCTCCAGAACATACACTTCGTACGTGGATGAACCTTTTTTCCCCCACTTGCTAAATTGCCCAAGTTGGCCCTGAAATTGTGATCCTCCTGCCTGTCTCTGGAGTGCTGAGATCACAGAAGTGAGCCACCTTGTCTGGCTGGTACAAGGTTTTATTATTTATTTTTTGTTTTGTTTTTTCTTTTGAGACAGGGTCTCCATGTGCAGTTCAGGGTGGCCTTAAACTCACTAAGTAGCCTGGCCTGGCCTTGAACTCGTGGTGATCCTCCTGCCTCAGCCTCCTGAGTGCTAGAACTATAGGCATGTGCTACCCTGACCGGCCTTGACACAAGGTTTTAAAGGTATTTAGACATTTAAGACTTTTACGTTGTTTTAAATTGTTTTCTGATACAAGCAGTGGAAATGTCCTTTCTACATGTTTTCAGAACCTGTGTAAACACAAGCATATACATACATTATTTTGTTTTCAGAGCACAAGTGAAAGAGAACTATATACAGTTGTTCTGCCCTAGTTATTTTCATTTTCACTTTACATCCACATCAAAGATACAGAATCAGAATCTGTATGACCTTGTCCTTTTCAATGGCTACTGTGGATTTCATGAGATGAGCATGCTGTGGTTTATTCATCTATTCTTCTGTTGATGGGCAATTAAATTGTATTCAACCTTTTACTGATACATGTAGTGCAGATTTCCTTTCCATCTATACTGTCATTATGTAGATTATTTGCAAGATCAAATCCCAGAAATAGGATGCTTGGATCTAAGAATGAGCACTTTTTTTTTTTGGTACCAGGGATTGAACTCAGGACCTTGCAGGCAGGGGAACTAGATCACCTGAGCTAGATCCCCAGCCCCTGTTTGTTTGTTTTTTGAAACAAGGTCTCACTGTTTCACTCTTGCTGGCCTTGAACTCTTTTTTTTTGGTACCGGGGATCAAACTCGGGTCCTTGTGCAGCATGCAGCGAAATGGCCTTGAACTCTTAATCCTCTTGCCTCAATCTTCTGAGCTGAGATTACAGGCATGTGCCACCATGCCTGGATGATTTTTCAGTTTTTATAAATCTGTTAGGTGGAAAATTGTATCTAATTATTTTAATGTGCATTTTTCTTATGATTGAGAGTAAGTATGTATTTTTTTTTTTTGGTACTGGAGATTGAACACAGGACCTTGTGCTTGCGCAGTAGGTGCCAGAACCACTGAGCTAAATCCCTGGCCCAGTATTTATATTTTTAGAGCCATTTGGATTTCCTTTTCAGTTCAACTACCTATTCATAAGCTTTGCCCCGTTTTCTCTTGGGTGGACTGATTTTTTTTTTTCCTCATAATTTTCAGTTTTTTTGTTTTTTGTTTTTGGTGGTACTGGGAACTGAACCCAGGGCCTTCACAGTGAGCTACATCCCCAGCCCTTTTATTTTTTATTGTGAGACAGGGTTTCATTGAGTTACTAAATTACCCATGCTGGGCTTGAACTTTCAATCCTCCTGTCTGAGTTTCCCAGAATGCTAAAAGAAGGCTTATTTTCCCATGCCAAAAGAAGACTTTTGCCCTGCGGGGTGGGTGTGGGGGGGATACACCTATAATCCTAGTACTCTGAGAGGCTGAGGCAGAAGGATCACATATTCAAGCCCAGCTTGGGCAATTTAGTAACTTAGTGAGACTGTGTCTCAAAAATAAAATATTAAGGCCGGAATCTAGCTCAATGGTTCTGCTGTCTGCCCTGCAACCCAAGGACCGGAGTTCGATCCCCAGTACAAAATAAATAAATAAATAAATAAAATATTAAAATGCCTGGAGAGGGCTAGGGATTTAGCTCAGTGGTTCCAGTGTCTGCCATGCAAGTGCAAGGTCCCGAGTTCGATCTCTGGTACCAAAAAATAAAACTAAAATGACTGGAGATGTAGCTCAGAGCGAAGGCCCTGGGTTCACTACCTAGCACAGAAAAAAAAAGGTTTTTGTGACAAAGCTGTGAATATCTACCCAGTTTGTTTTATGTAGTTTTGCCAGAGTTTTGATTTTTATAGAGTCAAGTTTTTAGTCTAGCCTCTTATATTTTTTGTTTTGTTACACGTAAGGTTTTCTACTCTTTTAAGATTATAACAATAAAAAAGTCTTATGTTTTTGACTTTAGGACATTTATTGTCTCATTTTTCGTTTTCTTTCTTTCTTTCTTTTTTTTTTTTTTGGTACCAGGGATCGAACTCGGGTCCTTGTGCTTGCAAGGCAAGCAATGGGAACCACTGAGCTAAATCTCTGGCCCTTTTTTTTTTTTTGAGACGGGGGCTCACTATGCAGTCTAGTCTGGCCTTAAACTGCCACAATCCCCCTACCTCAGCCTCCTGAGTTCTGAGATTACAGGCATCCACTGCCATGCCTGGCTTATTGTCTCATTTTTAAATGTGTTTATCTTGGTCTAAGGGCTGGAGTTATAGCTCAGTGGTAGAGTACTTGCCTTGTATATGCTAAGGTCCTGGGTTCCGTCCCCAGAACCACACACACAGAGCAACAACAATAGCAGAAACAGGTGGAAGCTCCTAAGAACTGGTTTTTTCTGGGCACTCGCAGAGCATTGTGTGCACTGTTTGGTTACCTCTGCAGCCCTGTGGAGTGGGAAGTTGTGACAGGGCAGGATGTGGCCACTTAGAGCCCCACAGTCAGGTGGTACAAGAGCCAACAGAATTTTTTTCCATATGGCTGGCTAATCCAACACCATTTTATTGAGCAATTCACTTTGCCTGTACCGTATACTAAATCCCTGTATTTATTTGGGTCTATTTTTAAACTTTTCTTATCTCTTTTAATGATCTAGTTATGTGTCAGTTCCACTACTTAATTTCTGTAACATTATGCTGTGTTAAAGTATCAGGTAGGATTTGCCACTTGTCATTGCTTTTCTTTTTCTGCATTATCCTGGCCATTTTTTAAAATTACTTGTTGTATGGGCCGGGGATTTAGCTCAGTGGTGCTGCCGCCTGCCGTATAAGTGCAAGGACCCAAGTTCGATCCCTGGTACCAAAAAAAAAAAAATTACTTGTACTAGGGATTGAATCCAAGGCCTTTACACTGAGATACATCCTCAGCCCTTTTTTTTAAATTTTGAGACAGGGTTTCACTAAGTCGCTAGATTGCCCAGGCTGTGCTGGAACTTGGGATCCTCCTGCCTCAGTTTTCCAGAGTTCTAGGATTTCAGGCATGTGCCACCATGCCTGGCTATGGAGGTGGCCTTAAATGTGTTGATTAACTGCAAAGAAAAGGCATCTTTGTGTTTAATATTCCCATCCAAGAAAATGAAGATGATATGTCCCCCTTGCCCCATCTTGCTAGGAATTGAACCCAGGTTCTCATGTTTGCTAGGTGAATCCCTTACTTCTGAGCTACATTTCTAGCAGTTCTATTTATTCTTTTCTCTCTTGTTAGTGTTTCTGTTTTTCCCCATGGGCTTCTTGTACTCTTCAGGATCATTATTAGGTTTTTAAGCTGTATTACTCTGATCAAGTATATGTGTATATGAAGACTATTGTATGTAAATTTAGACTTTTTTTGCTTTTTCAAACCTCATTGCCATCATTTACAAGGGTGTGTGTGTATGTGTGTGTGTGTCTGTGTGTATATGCATGCACACATGAATACACATGGATTTAAATCCTTAAACAGCAAAAACGTTTCCCCATGTGATCATAACTTCTTAGAAATTTTTTTTTTGGTACTGGGGATCAAACTTGGGTATTTGCAACTGCGCAGCAGGTGGTGAAACCGCTGAGCTAAATCCCTGGCCCTAGAAATTATTTTTTATGAAAAAAATTTATGGTATGTAACATGAAATTTTAACCATCCCCCCCCCC